CAATACATATTGTTGTTATGTACTAATTTATTAGAATTGTTAAGGTATTTATTTAAACTTTTAGATACATTACACATTTGTATGTGTATTTTAGCATGTGCTAGTGGTTTTTAATTAAAAAATAACATCAAGAAGTTTTGAGGAAGAACTGAACTAGAACTGAACTAAAACTGAACTAGAACTGAACTAGAACTGAACTAGAACTGAACTAGAACTGAACTAGAACTGAACTAGAACTGAACTAGAACTGAACTAGAACTGAACTAGAACTGAACTAGAACTGAACTAGAACTGAACTGAAACTGAACTAGAACTGAACTAGAACTGAACTAGAACTGAACTAGAACTGAACTAGAACTGAACTAGAACTGAACTAGAACTGAACTAGAACTGAACTAGAACTGAACTAGAACTGAACTAGAACTGAACTAGAACTGAACTAGAACTGAACTAGAACTGAACTAGAACTGAACCAGAACTGAACTAGAACTGAACTAGAACTGAACTAGAACTGAACTAGACCTGAACTAGAACTGAACTAGAACTGAACTAGAACTAGAACTAGAACTGAACTAGAACTGAACTAGAACTGAACTAGAACTGAACTAGAACTGAACTAGAACTGAACTAGAACTGAACTAGAACTGAACTAGAACTGAACTAGAACTGAACTAGAACTGAACTAGAAGTGAACTAGAACTGAACTAGAACTAGAACTGAACTAGAACTGAACTAGAACTGAACTAGAACTGAACTAGAACTGAACTAGAACTGAACTAGAACTGAACTAGAACTGAACTAGAACTGAACTAGAACTGAACTAGAACTGAACTAGAACTGAACTAGAACTGAACTAGAACTGAACTAGAACTGAACTAGAACTGAACTAGAACTGAACTAGAATTGAACTAGAACTGAACTAGAACTGAACTAGATCTGAACTAGAACTGAACTAGCACTGAACTAGAACTGAACTAGAACGGAACTAGAACTGAACTAGAACAGAACTAGAACTGAACTAGAACTGAACTAGATCTGAACTAGATCTGAACTAGATCTGAACTAGATCTGAACTAGAACTGAACTAGCACTGAACTAGAACTGAACTAGAACGGAACTAGAACTGAACTAGAACTGAAGTAGATCTGAATAGTAATAGTATTTTTAATTATACATATTAGAATTTTAGATAGGACCATATCTTAATAATGTTTGTTATTGTAAAACCTAGATGTCTGTTCACGATTTCTATCAGACCCCATACAAAGCTAAATCGGGAGTACAGTTTAGGGGGTCGTAAATGTTGAAAATTTAAGTCTGTTTTATCAACCAAAAATTATGTTGAAAATTTTACCACAGGCTCCGAATTATTGCATTCGTGGTCGAGTAAAATTTACCGTAATATTTCTTTTTGAGATTATAGCATTTCAACAAGATTATAGCATTCGAAATGAAAGTGTGTGTCCCGATATGAATGCTTAGTCGTAAAATACTTATCAAACTACCCACGCTTTAATAAATCATATAAAACTACCGATTTAATCCATAGGGAAATAAATGTCACAGAAATTTTAATTATTCATAATTTTAAAGCTTAAAAAACTACAATTCTTATAAGGTGCTTTACCAGTTCATTAATCATTGTTGGTGTGGGACAGTTAAAAACTTTTGAGAAAATATTAATAATAATTTTTCAAAACTAACAACTACTCATCCATTCATTGTGCGGATGGATGGCTGTCTAGATAAACGTCATCATATTGTGCCATTAGTCAGACTTCAGGAAGAGTAGAGGATGGGGGAAAAAGCACAGCTTAATACTATTTACAGTTTCTATATCGCTCGTGTGTTTTTTTTATTAAAAATAACAATGTCTCACTTAATTTCTTTTTAATTTTTTATTGTTTTTTATTTTAAGATTATTTTTAACTCAAATCACGTGTAGTTTAGCACGTTCAAATTATTGAACGTAATAAATCAAAAATTTGGCCAATTAATTCCAAAAGTTAAAAATCCAAAAATGTTTTATTATAAGCATAACTATAGTGATTCTAATTTCTTGCAGATCTCAAACTTACGTGATTTTTGTTTATTTTGATTAAGTGTTAAATATAATACAAATAATATTCCTCAAAGTTAAAAATTATTTTGAAAATTTTAGTCACCAACCAAAAAGTTTTGCAACTTAATTTTACTTAACTTGACCATGGTAACGTAACTAGTTCTACTGTGGGTTGCAACTAACCTATAGTTCTTTCTATTTTAATCAGTTTTATGATCCACCTCAATATTGTTGTTATTATTTATATTTTTAAGTTTTTTATTATTTTATTTTTTAATAATAAAAACAAAGAATAATAAAAACGTTTTAATTGTCAATTATTACCTGGCCAAACAAATGATAACTGGGATCTGCAAATAGCGTGAACGAGGGTATATATAAAAAAAAAACAAATTGCAACAAAATATTTATTTAAGAACAGATGACTTCTATAAAACACTTCATTACGTAAATGTAGAAAAAAGTTAGCAAAATTTTCAGATAGAAAAAAATATTAATACAAATATTTTTTTCGATAATTTTTAGCTTAAAGAGATATTTATTAAAAGTTTTAGCGATTTAAGATCTTGTTATGCTTTTTAAACGACATATAATACTTTTATATTACCATTTGTGTGTGTTATGTTAATATTACAATTTTTTAAATTATTTTGGTCAAACTTTTATGAAAAATGATGGTATATCGAATCTAATAAAAAGTAAATTTCGGAAGGTGGCCCTACATATTTGTTAAAAACTTGTTATTGGAAATCCCGCAAATTCCAAAAGAGGTCCTTATTTCAGTTTTCTAGTTCCAGTTCAGTTCCAGTTCAGTTCTAGTTCAGTTCTAGTTCAGTTCTAGTTCAGTTCTAGTTCAGTTCTAGTTCAGTTCTAGTTCTAGTTCAGCTCAGTCCTAGTTCAGTTCTAGTTCAGTTCTAGTTCAGTTCTAGTTCAGTTCTAGTTCAGTTCTAGTTCAGTTCTAGTTCAGTTCTAGTTCAGTTCTAGTTCAGTTCTAGTTCAGTTCTAGTTCAGTTCTAGTTCAGTTCTAGTTCAGTTCTAGTTCAGTTCTAGTTCAGTTCTAGTTCAGTTCTAGTTCAGTTCTAGTTCAGTTCTAGTTCAGTTCTAGTTCAGTTCTAGTTCAGTTCTAGTTCAGTTCTAGTTCAGTTCTAGTTCAGTTCTAGTTCAGTTCTAGTTCAGTTCTAGTTCAGTTCTAGTTCAGTTCTAGTTCAGTTCTAGTTCAGTTCTAGTTCAGTTCTAGTTCAGTTCTAGTTCAGTTTTGGTTTAGTTCTAGTTCAGTTCTAGTTCATTCTAGTCAGTCTTAGTTCAGTTCAGTTCAGTTTATCAGTTCTAGTTCAGTTCTAGTTCAGTTCTAGTTCAGTTCTAGTTCAGTTCTAGTTCAGTTCTAGTTCAGTTCTAGTTCAGTTCTAGTTCAGTTCTAGTTCAGTTCTAGTTTCCAGTTTCTAGTTCAGTTCTAGTTCAGTTCTAGTTCAGTTCTAGTCCGTTCTAGTTCAGTTCTAGTTCAGTTCTAAGTTCAGTTCTAGTTCAGTTCTAGTTCAGTTCTAGTTCAGTTCTAGTTCAGTTCTAGTTCAGTTCTAGTTCAGTTCTAGTTCAGTTCTAGTCAGTTCTAGTTCAGTTCTAGTTTCAGTTCTAGTTCGTTCAGTCAGTTAGTTCAGTTCAGTTCTAGTTCAGTTCTAGTTAAGTTCTAGTTAAGTTCTAGTTCAGTTCTAGTTCAGTTCTAGTTCAGTTCTAGTTCAGTTCTAGTTCAGTTCTAGTTCAGTTCTAGTTCAGTTCTAGTTCAGTTCTAGTTCAGTTCTAGTTCAGTTCTAGTTCAGTTCTAGTTCAGTTCTAGTTCAGTTCTAGTTTCAGTTCTAGTTCAGTTCTAGTTCAGTTCTAGTTCAGTTCTAGTTCAGTTCTAGTTCAGTTCTAGTCAGTTCTAGTTCAGTTCTAGTTCAGTTCCAGTTCAGTTCTAGTTCAGTTCTAGTTCAGTTCTAGTTTAGTTCAGTTAGTTTAGTCAGTTCTAGTTCAGTTCTAGTTCAGTTCTAGTTCAGTTCTAGTCAGTTTCTAGTTCAGTTCTAGTTCAGTTCTAGTTCAGTTCTAGTTCAGTTCTAGTTCAGTTCTAGTTCAGTTCTAGTTCAGTTCTAGTTCAGTTCTAGTTCAGTTCTAGTTCAGTTCTAGTTCAGTTCTAGTTCAGTTCTAGTTCAGTTCTAGTTCAGTTCTAGTTCAGTTCTAGTTCAGTTCTAGTTCAGTTCTAGTTCAGTTCTAGTTCAGTTCTAGTTCAGTTCTAGTTCAGTTCTAGTCAGTTCTAGTTCAGTTCTAGTTCAGTTCTAGTTCAGTTCTAGTTCAGTTCTAGTTCAGTTCTAGTTAAGAACGTTCAATAATTATATATATGGAGTCTACTCCCGATAAGTGTCAAGCGGAACAACAAAATGAAATCCTCCCACCCATGAAAATCTCCCTAATCATAACTATGACTAAACATTAACACCAACAACACTTAGCAATAAAATATCCCCTTTTTAATAATACTGGTTATTTTATTTGAGTAAGCTTTTATTTGATTTAAAAAACCAGTTTAAATTTCAACAAAAAGCAGAGAACTTTAAAGTTCCTTAGAATTTCAATAGAATTGGCAATAATGAATAATCGTAGTACCAACATATAGTCATAGAACCATTCATTGACGTCTGTCAAAGTATGGGTGTGAACAGTAAAGTAAACAACGTTTATACCCCCATATCGGTAATGTTAATAAAACAATCTACAAGTTCTTGTTGTACTGGCTGTTTAATACTAAAAACAAATCCATAATTATTTTAACAGTTTGACAAATATTCTATTTAGCTCTGTTCAAACAGTTTGCAATTTTTTTTTCTCATTTCAAATGAATATTGTGTTGTTGTTTTTTGATTTTGCTTTTGTGTAAACGTTTGAGTAGTAGTTAAGACTTGTTGTGCTGACTGTTTGGTCCGTCTGCACGATCAGTAGCGTAAACAATCTTGAACTTGACAGTTTGTTGAATGTATCTAAAGCGCACACAACGTACATCCCAACAGCATCTCGCTCAATTGCCGGTATTTTTAACGTAAAAATAAAAAAAAATCGAAACGAACTAGAGAAAAAATAGAAAAAAATATATATTGCAAATCAAATAACGCAAAACTACATAAAACTAAATAAATAAATATTTAGATTGTCTTGTGCAATTGTAAGTTGTAAAATAAAAATAGTTTCTGGTGCACAGATTTTTTTTTTTTGCAAATTTACAAAGAAAAAATAAAACAAACAAGGAAATCATAGCATTAAAAAAGTGTCTAAAAATATTAATTGCGGTAATATCTAGTGAAACGAAAAGAAGGCTTTATATTTGGAAAGATATTTTTAATCTGGAGAATCAAATAAGTTTAAGTGTTTTAACTAAAGAAAAAAGTTATAGCAAAATGTGGGCTGCGAAAAAGTGTAACTCGTTCAATTCCATGTGGCTTATAATAACAGGTAAGTTAATTAAAAATTAATCTTCTTTAAAGGACACTGACCCATTCATTATACTGGTCCTCATTGGTCCTTTCAAAATTGTCGATTTTTCAAAGTTCAAAATATTAGATTCTTATGCTGGTTATCTAGATACACTATTAATCTATTTTAGAAAGTCCACTTTTTTAGAAATTTCATTGTGTATCCATTAAAATGTCAATGTCCCTGAACTTAACTGCACAAAACGAGTTTCTAATAGACTAGAGCTAGTAGCTGCTGGTGTTAATAATAAGTATTTCAAACATAAAATTGTTAATAAACGTTCTATATTTAATAAAAAGCTTAAATATTGTATTGTTAAATGTTGTTAATTTTTTTAAATATCGTTTAATATAATATTATTTGTGCAAAAATAAATGTTATATTTTTCCATTAAAAGAACCATGTTAATTAAAAATATATGCGCGCCATTTTGCTTTTCAACAAATATTATTTATCTGTTATTGATATTGATATTGTATGTTAAAAATGTTCATTGAAATTACGTTTAAGAAAAGTAAAATTAAGGTGGAGTTGTTTTTTTAAAGGCTTGCATTGAGTCATAAGATTTCTTTTCTTATTTGTTTAACAAAAGTGCAATAAAATATTAAAATCAATAAATAATTAATTGCTTTCAGCTGGCATAACGAAATCATATGATTTTGAGTAAAATATTGGAAAAAATGTCATTGTTTTTTAAATAAAAATGTACATTGGTGTTGTAATGTGCCCAGCACCAAAATTTTTAGTCGATTTCATGATTTAAATGAAATACAGTATGAGCTTGAATTGCTTAAAATTATATTAAAATGAAAGCTTTCATAATCACCAAGACTTAGTCTAAATGATCATTTTATTTGGTAAACAATGATACGATTTTTACGATTCCAGAAAAGAGAATTAGAACTGAACTAGAACTGAAACTGAAACTAGGAAACTGGAACTAGAACTGAACAAGGAATTAAACTCGAAACATGCATGACTAGAACTCTGACTAGAAACTAAACAGTAGACTGAACTAGAACTGAACTAGAACTTGAACTAGAAACTGAACTAGAACTGAACTAGAACTGAATAGAAACTGAACTAGAACTGAACTAGAAACTGAACTAGAACTGAACTAGAACTGAACTAGAACTGACTAGACTGAACTAGAACTGAACTAGAACTGAACTAGAACTGAACTAAGAACTGGAACTAGTAAGTGAACTAGAACTGAAACTAGAACTGACTAACTCTAGAACTGAACTAGAACTGAACTAGAACTGAACTAGAACTGAACTAGAACTGAACTAGAACTGAGCTAGAACTGAACTAGAACTGAACTGAACTAGAACTAGAACTGAACTAGAACTGAACTGAACTGAACTAGAACTGAACTAGAACTGAACTAGAACTGAACTAGAACTGAACTAGAACTGAACTAGAACTGAACTAGAACTGAACTAGAACTGAACTAGAACTGAAACTAGAACTGAACTAGAAACTGAACTAGAACTGAACTAGAACTGAACTAGAACTGAACTAGAACTGAACTAGAAACTGAACTAGAACTGAACTAGAACTGAACTAGAACTGACTAGAACTGAACTAGAACTGAACTAGAAACTGAACTAGAACTGAACTAGAACTGAACTAGAACTGAACTAGAACTGAACTAGAACTGAACTAGAACTGAACTAGAACTGAACTAGAACTGAACTAGAACTGAACTAGAACTGAACTAGAACTGAACTAGAACTGAACTAGAACTGAACTAGAACTGAACTAGAACTGAACTAGAACTGAACTAGAACTGAACTAGAACTGAACTAGAACTGAACTAGAACTGAACTAGAACTGAACTAGAACTGAACTAGAACTGAACTAGAACTGAACTAGAACTGAACTAGAACTGAACTAGAACTGAACTAGAACTGAACTAGAACTGAACTAGAACTGAACTAGAAATGAACTAGAACTGAACTAGAACTGAACTAGAACTAAACTAAACTAAACTAGAACTAAACAAGAACTGAACTAGAACTGAACTAGAACCGAACTAGAACCGAACTAGAACTGAACTAGAACTGAACTAGAACTGAACTAGAACTGAACTAGAACTGAAGTAGAACTGAACTAGAACTGAACTAGAACTGAACTAGAACTGAACTAGAACTGAACTAGAACTGAACTAGAACTGAACTAGAACTGAACTAGAACTGAACTAGAACTGAACTAGAACTGAACTAGCACTGAACTAGAACTGAACTGACTAGAACTGAACTAGAACTGAACTAGAACTGAACTAGAACTGAACTAGAACTGAACTAGAACTGAACTAGAACTGAACTAGAACTGAACTAGAACTAAACTAGAACTAAACTAGAACTGAACTAGAACTGAACTAGAACTGAACTAAACTAGAACTGAACTAGAACTGAACTAGAACTGAACTAGAATGAACTAGAACTGAACTAGAACTGAACTAGAACTGAACTAGAACTGAACTAGAACTGAACTAGAACTGAACTAGAACTGAACTAGAACTGAACTAGAACTGAACTAGAACTGAACTAGAACTGAACTAGAACTGAACTAGAACTGAACTAGAACTGAAAGAACTGAAGTAGAGAACTAGAACTGAACTAGAACTGAACTAGAACTGAACTAGAACTGAACTAGAACTGAACTAGAACTGAATTAGAACTGAACTAGAACTGAACTAGAACTGAACTAGAACTGAAGTAGAACTGAACTAGAACTGAACTAGAACTGAACTAGAACTGAACTAGAACTTAACTAGAACTTAACTAGAACTTAACTAGAACTGAACTAGAACTGAACTAGAACTGAACTAGAACTGAACTAGAACTGAACTAGAACTGAACTAGAACTGAACTAGTACTGAACTAGAACTTAACTAGAACTGAACTGGAACTAAACTAGAACTTAACTATAACTGAACTAGAACTCTTGTTTAAAGAGTTGTGTGAGTAGTAAAATTCATTGCTTCTGAATAATTTTTAACTGTTTTAATTTAGCACGAATTCGGACCCAACTGTTATTTTAATTTTTGGGTTTTACAAATGAGGCCAGTATACATTTGAAACACGTTTATTTAAGTGTTAGCTAAAAATTCCACGAAACACTTAACATTTATTTAAAATTAGGGAACAAGTGTTAATGCCAGTTGTTGCACTTTCTCTCAGTTTTATCTTTGGCAGGTGTTGTTTTGTAAGGATTATAAATAATGGCTTTTTGTTATGATTTTATAATAATTTTAAAAAAATTTTACCAAATTTTTTTTAGAAACTTTTTTTCATAAAAGCTTTTGAAAAAGAACTTATATTATTTAAGCCAAGTATTTTTCATAAGGAATAAGCCCTTTTTATATATACTCAATACTTAAACTGTCACTAATAGTTGCTTATTATTTTAATTTATAAAGACATTAAACACAATATTAAAATCAATTATTATATTATTTTTAATAACTTTGATAAAGATCAACAATTAAATCTAGTTATTGTAGATTTCTTTTTAAATTCATGCTTTTATCTAACAAGCTCAGCTTCAAAGTTCAATTACAAATTATGACGAAATTATTTTCACATAGAACAAATGATGATTTTATTTTTTTAAACACAATATCTATAATTTTTCAAATATCTTATTGCCATATGTCACTGACTTCTATCGTCATTACCATCATCATCAGTTGTTTTTGTCTAGCTGCTATTAATTTCTAACAGGAAACCCCATTTTATCATTGACCGCATTTGTCTGCCGCTTCTACAAAATTTTATTTTACTTGTTTCACCATTTCAACTGATTCATATATCATTTCGTTCTAGATAAATTTTATAAAACTGGTCTAAAATTCATTAACGACAACTTAATAATTTAATGTTAAATAATAAAAAAACAAACTGTTTGGTCATTTGAAAATAAAGAATTATGGCGACAATTTAACTGCGCGACAATTCTAGCAAATACGTGTGAGTACTCGTATTGACAACTCGTTTACTGCTAAATAATAAAGTAAATTTAAATAAAGTTTATTATTTTTTGTGCTTAATTTTTAGGAACTATGATAATGTACAATAATATTATAAATTATAAAGAGTTACGAAGAAATTATTTTAAACATGGGACTTTTTTTGGGGAGGTATATAAATGCTTATATATATTTTTTTTGACAATTATATATGGTTAATATTGTTTTTGTTAAGCTTCGTGATGATATAGGTATATTGGTTCAAATAATTTTTATACGAAAACTGTACACTATACTCTTGACTATAGACTAGACTATAGTCTAATCTATAATCCTGACTATAGTCTATTCTATTGTCCTGACTATAGTCTAGTCTATATTCCTGACTATATTCCAGACTATATTCCTGACTATATTGTAGTCTACAGTCCTGACAATAGTCGAGTCAATAGTCTATAGTCTAGTCTATAGTCTAGTCTATAGTCTAGTCTATAGTCTAGTCTATAGTCTAGTCTATAGTCTAGTCTATAGTCTAGTCTATAGTCTAGTCTATAGTCTAGTCTATAGTCTAGTCTATAGTCTAGTCTATAGTCTAGTCTATAGTCTAGTCTATAGTCTAGTCTATAGTCTAGTCTATAGTCTAGTCTATAGTCTAGTCTATAGTCTAGTCTATAGTCTAGTCTATAGTCTAGTCTATAGTCTAGTCTATAGTCTAGTCTATAGTCTAGTCTATAGTCTAGTCTATAGTCTAGTCTATAGTCTAGTCTATAGTCTTGATTATTGTCTAGAATATGTTCTGACTATAGTCTAGTCTATAGTCTTAATTATAGTCTAGTCTATAGTTCTGACTATAGTTTAGTCTATGGTCCTGACTATAGTCTAGTCTATAGTCCTGTCTATAGGTAAGTCTATAGTCCTGACATTAGTTTAGTCTATAGTCTTAACTATAGTCCAAAGTTTTATATAAATTTTTAATTTTATTTTTATTTACCATTTAAAAAAATACATATTTTTTTAATTATTAATTTCCTGTAGTTTATCTTATAGAAATTAAATTTATGTACATAAAAATATAACAATTATTAGTATTTTATTTATAGGTACTATCAATTAAAATTCTATATTTAAACCCTGATTTCTATTAACACCCAATATACACCCAAACAATTATACTAGTTATTTGCTTTACATTTACCGTAAATTGATAATAAATATTTGATTATTTAAAATTATTTGTATATCTTTTTCAAATAAATATTTGAATGTTATTATATATTTAACAAACAATAAAAAAAATTTATTAATTAATTTTATTAACTAATTAAAAATTTCCATTTTAAACAAGCAAAAATTACAGGAACCAATTAACATTATGAGAATTTTTTGGTACATTTTTTCACTTAAAAAATCAAATGAAGTTAAACTTGATTAGAAAATAAATTGTTTGATCTACATGGTCACATAGACATGATCTAGAGATCAGTTTCTAAAAAAATAATAAACAAAATCTATTGTTATTTGCAAAAAATAAAATCAGGTGCTAAAATCATGTGAAATGTGAGAAATGCAAATGTGAGAAAATAGTTAAGAATTAAATCTACTTTGATATTATTTAACTAGTTTTTTGAAAATTTATAAAAATTGTTTACTGTTTATACTGTATATGTAGTTGTTATTGTTTGTAAACAAAATAATTGAAAATTTTATTAGAAAAATTAAATTAATAAATTAATGTATACATAAATATATAAAAAATAATATTTAAAAGTAGACAAAACAATGCGGTAGTTACTAATCAATCAAAATTGTTAGAATATTAAATTATTTCTATTAATTAACACACTTTACAATTGTTTGCAATAGATATAGAGAGATAGGTTTGAACATTTTAATTGATTCGATGTACATTTCATTCATAAGACGAAGGTTAGAGGCATAGACTTAAATAAGTTTAAATTTATTGTCAAGACTTTAGTGCTATAGTATAGTCTATAGTCAAGACTGTAGACTGATCTACAGTCATGACTATGTACTGGTCTATAGTCAAGACTTTTGACTTGCCTATAGTCAAGACTATAGACTGGTTTATAGTCAAGACTATAAATTGATCAATAGTCAAGAATATAGACTGATCTATAGTCAAGACTATATAGTGATCTATAGTCAAGACTATGGACTGATCTATAGACAAGACTATAGGCTGATCTATAATGCAGACTATGGACTGATCTCGATGTCGAGACTATACCTTCTCATCTATAGCCAAAACTATAGACTGATCTTCAGTGCAGACTATAGACTGATCTATAGTCAGGACTATAGACTGATCTACAGTCAAAACTATAGACTAATCAACAGTCAAAACTATAGACTGATCTATAGTCAAGACTATAGACTGATCTATAGTCAAAACTATAGACTGATCTATAGTTAAGATTATAGACTGCTCTATAGTCAACACTATAGACTTATCTATAGTCAACACTATAGACTTATCTATAGTCAAGACTATAGACTAATCTATAGTCAAGACTATAGACTAATCTATAGTCAAGACTATAGACTAATCTATAGTCAAGAATATAGACTAATCTATAGTCATGATCTATAGTCAAAGCTATAGACTGGACCATACTCAAGACTATAAACTGATCTATAGTCAAGACTACAGACTGATCTATAGTCAAGACTATAGACTGATCTATAGTCAAGACTATAGACTAATCTATAGTCATGACTATAGACTGATAATTGGTCAAGACTATTGACTGATCTATAGTTAAGAGTTTAGACTGATCTATAGTCAAGACTATAGACTGATCTACAGTCAAGACTATAGACTGATCTATAGTCAAGACTATAGACTGGTCTATAGTCAAGACAATAGACTGATCTATAGTCAAGACTATAGACTAATCTATAGTAAAGACTACAGACTGATCTATAGTAAAGACTATAGACTGATCTATATGAAAGACTATTGACTGATCTATAGTCAAGAGTTTAGACTGATCTATAGTCAAGACTATAGACTAATCTATAGCCAAGACTATAGACAAAAATATAGTAAAGACTATTGACTGATCTATATTCAAGAGTTTAGACTGATCTATAGTTAAGACTATAGACTGATCTACAGTCAAGACTATGAACTGATCTACAGTCAAGACTATGAACTGATCTATAGTCAAGACTATAGACAGATCTATAGTCAAGACTATAGACTAATCTATAGAAAAGGCTATGGACTGATCTATAGTCAAGACTATAGACTGATCTATAGTCAAGACTATAGACTAATCTATAGTCAATACTATAGACTAATCTATAGTCAAGACTATAGTCTGATCTATAGTCAAGACTATAGACTGATCTATAGTCAAGACCATAGACTGATCTATAGTGAAGACCATAGAGTAATATATAGGCAAGACCATAAACTGATCCATAGTCAAGACTATAGACTGATCTATAGTCAAGACTATAGACTGATATACTGTCAAGACTATAGACTGATCTATAGTCAAGGCTATAGATTGATCTATAGTCAAGGCTATAGATTGATCTATAGTCAAGGCTATAGGGTGATCTATAGTCAAGACTATAGACTGGTCTATAGTCAGGACTTTAGACTGGTCTATTGTCTATAACTTAGACTGATTTATTCACTGTATTGGTTGGTCTATTATCAAAACCATAACCTATTATTCTGCTTTGATAATTTTATTAGATTTTTCTGGAAATGATTACCAATTTTAACTGGATTCCTAAACCAGTTAAGTATGACGAAACTTAATATACTTATTTCAAAAAGTGTTTATTTATTTTATACAACTATAAATATTGCACTTGTTTTTCTTTTAATAACTGTTATAAAAATTAAAAAGGGTCTCTTTAAGGAAAATTATAAAATTTATATGAGCCTAAACTTGTAAATTAATTACAAATTCAAACAAATACTTTAAAAATAACAAATTTGCGCATTTCACTTCAAAAAATATTGCAAACAACAAAAATCAAAACAAAACTTTACTAAGAACTTGTTACCAAGTCCGAAGGTATTACGACATACGCCATAAAATCTTGAAGAACTAAGTCAAGGTGTTTCACCGCTAAAGAAAAAGAGATAGCAACAAAGATAAAACCACAATCATTAGAAAATAGTCACACGCCATTTATTAAAAAAATCAAATATTCATAAAATGAACATTAGATATCTAATAAGATAACTTATCAGTTAAAGAGCAGAAAAAAAGAAAATATTGGCCACGACATAAAAAAAAATTATTAGAAAATACCCCTTTAGAACATGAGAAAATTACAAAAAATATATATATTGTTCAATTTCAATTTGCAAATAAAATCAAAATAAATCATAATATGTAATTTGTGTATATAGTACAACAAATACAATTTTTTTATTGATAAGATAGAAGACAGTTACGAATAAGTGACACACACCAACCATTATTAAAATAAAATTAATTTTACTCACTGTCATTTTTTTTATCATTCAATATCAATATCAATTTTTTTTGCAACTAAATTAATTTTGCACTTTTCATTCTAATTTTATACTCATTTCTCTATCTTTTATTGTTTTCTTTCAGTAGTCACTGTTCTGTTGCCTTTAACACAGGCACAAGCATATCATTTTATAATCGGTCATCATCAGCGTAACTTCGATCAATTGTATCGGGAATCAAATAGTAGAACCTACGTAGCAGACACAAATTATACGGATACAACTGCAGCTGATTTGGAAAATACAAATTCAACAATTATTGTTACCAGTAAGTAGATGTATTATTGAAAATTGTTCGCTTAAAATATTTCGAAAATCATGTACAAAAAAATACATATCTATTAAGTGTCTAAAAAGTGTAAATTTTCCTTTTGTAAATTATTTTACAAATAACTGAAGTACATACTTGTTTTCTAGAGTTCATTTCCTTGTGAATCAGTCTGAGTGTTCTTTTTTACAAAATTTTGCTTAAATGTACAAAAATCGTATGTTAAAATATCACAAAAGAGTAATATAGTCGACTATAATACGGAATCGGATCTTTAAAAAAATAATTATTTCTTATAAATTCCAAATTACAAATGTAAAGATTCGTGGAAACATTTTCACCACAACTCTTCTCGATGAGACTATATTTTGCTCTTTTAAGGGGATGCGTTCTTACGGACAGACCTATTTTCGAAATGATTTCAAAATCTCTACTTCTTAAGACTAATTAGTAATTACCCTAATAAAATTACATTAAGGTTTGAGATAAAATTTGGCAAACACCCAAAGAGTCATAACTCTTTATTAAACCTACATTTTGAGTGGTAAAACTTATCTGGTCTCTAGGCGGGCCGAAATCCAGATAGACTCGATCTGAAATCATGTCTAGAGAATATTTTCACGTTTTAAACGTTCTCTTTATTGCTAATGCAGCAATCTCTGTATGGACAGCTAAACCTTTACCAGACTTGATATAAGTTCAAGGGTGCTTGCATGTGGTCCACGAAGTGGGCTATTTATTAATCTAGTGAGTAGATAACAGTGTTTGTAAAGTTTCAAAAACTCTACTACTTGTAGAAAAGTGCATTAGTTTTATTCGATATAAGTATATTTATCCTCAAATTTTTGTTTAGGACAAGGGTTTGGGAAGAGTTACCACTGAAAGTCTAGTTATATCCTCAAGATATGGACAACTCTCTGCCATTGGCTTCGTTTGTTTTTATATATGTTTTTCGTTAGCTTATGTCAGATTATGAGAGATCTCCTTGCAGAAGTTTGAACTAATGTAAGTGTAACCCCAAGAGAGAAACAGAATTAATGGGAAAGCTCCGGGAATATATGCTTTTTTGATTTCAACTTTCTTATACGAAACATAATAAAATGGGCTTTAAACCAGTTATCGGAGGAGTCATACATCCGATGATATATTTTATACTAAAGCAGGCAACATAAACCATGAGCTGGGAAGAACAGATTTGTATTTTTAGATACAATAAGAACAACCCAATGTATATTAACTAATTCAGACAAACCGGGCGAACTGACTATATATATAGCTATGTATTCTCGGTTGTCAGAAAATGTCTAACAACCGTGTGAACCTACAACTTTTGACTTACAACATTGCTGCAAAAAACATTATCAATATATTGCAAAATATAATATTGTCAAACATCTAACAATCATGTAAACACATTACGTTGCCATTTCCAGATAATTGTGTGACAATTTTTATTGTCAGATGTTCGAATTTTATGCATCTGACAATATAATCAATATAAATATTTTCTATTGTCAACATGGTGCATTAAACTAACATATGAAGCTTAATTAGATCTGACAACTTTTGTCATAGAACAATCTGACAACATTGTGAACTGACAATACTTCTGGGTAGATAAATTCTATTGTCTGACAATTGTCTGGCAATGAAATTGTAACGATTTCTAACAACTGTCTGATGTGACAATTTACTAGACAATTTTTCATTGTCAGTACATTGTCAGATATTCCAACGTTGTAAGATCTGACAATATAGATAGCTTTATGCCGCAATCTCTGTATGACTCCATTGTCAGATAAATGTTTTCTTTTGGCAATATGCTACATTAAAAGAACATAGGCAGCTAAAATAAAATCTGGCAACTTTTGTCATAGAACAATTTGACAACAGTATAAACTGACAATTTATTGTCTGGCAATAAAATTGTAAGGTTTTCTTACAACCGGCTGATGTGACAATTTACCTGATGCTAACAATTTTTCAGTGTCAGTACATTGCCAGATCTTTCAACGTTGTAAGATCTTACAACCGAGTATATATAGATTAGGTCTTATATATAACGCTCCATGGAAACAAAAATGTTTTAAAGAGCTCTGTAGAAAATTGTAAACCCAACAATCAATAGATGTTTTTATTTATATTTTTATAAAAACTTAAATATTTTAGCAAATTTTATTCTTAATTAAACACTGTTCCCTCCATAGATACTTGTGTCAAGTGTGGTTTGGCAAATAAACAACCTCTTAAAATACACCTGTTTTAACAATATTATTAAAAATTAATAAAAATGCAAAAACACACATAAAATAACAATAAATCTAAAAATAAACCTTAAACTAATATAAAAGATAACACTGAAAAAATGCAATAAAATAAAAAACATCTATTCATTTCAAATAATAACACTTCAAAGGAAAATTAGCTCACAACAATGACGACTTAAATGAAAAATATGATGAAATTCCCATAGTAAAAAAATATATATAAAAGGGGGTGTGTTGCTTACAACAATAAATTAATAATATCTTTTTATTATAATACTAACAATAAATTAATAAAATTTACTTAATAAACATTTTTCAATTAAATTTAAATTTATTTTCCCTTACAGCGGTACGTGAATCAAACGAATTATCACAGACTGCCATGGATATCATAACGATCGTTTGGTATGTGGCCACTTTTTTGGCTTTGGCTGCCTTCTTTTTACTCATGGCTTGCTCGGATAGACGTTGTAGTGATACCCAACGTAATGCCAATATGAATACAAATGAAGCACCCATACCACCACCCACGCCCTCACCTTCTTACAGTGAGTTTGCTCCACCCAGTTATGACAGTGTCATGAAATTACAACATCAAAGTAAAAATACCATATTTGTCATACCATTTTCGGTGGAACAAACTGCTGCCAAAGAAGGTGTTAATAACAGCACGAATAACAGCACCATACAACAACAACGACAACAACAACAACTAATGCTAATGATCTGCCCTTAACTCCTAATATTAGTTTTTATACCATAAATGAACTGCAAAAATTAGAAAGTTAATGTCAACGGAGATTTATTTTAACAAAAATTTCTAATTTTTTCCTTTTGAAAACCTTAATGGAAAAAATCTTCAAGAAACATTTCTTATAAAGAATATCTGTGATATTTTAGGGCATTTCTTTAAATCAAACAGTTTAACATAAAGGTTGTTAGCAGCTGTTTAAGGATTCTTTTATACATCATTTAGCAAGGTTAAAGTCAAATTCATTTGTTCATTATTTTTGTATTATCTAGTTCCAAAGTGTCTGAGTACTTAAACATTTTACTGTATTAAGTGAATAGCCATAAGTATTTGTATTTAAGTTTAAATAATGATAAGACTGATTAAAGCATATTTTTAGTTAAGTAGTTGTCATTTCGGTGCTTTAAACCAATTTTGTATTTAAGTTTATTTTTTTTTGTATTAGTTAGGAAATAAAGTATGTACTTAAAAATAATGATAATAAATAATATGAAAAATTAATAAAGTATATAAAGACTATAGACTAGACTATAGACTAGACTATAGACTAGACTATAGACTAGACTATAGACTAGACTATAGACTAGACTATAGACTAGACTATAGACTAGACTATAGACTAGACTATAGACTAGACTATAGACTAGACTATAGACTAGACTATAGACTAGACTATAGACTAGACTATAGACTAGACTATAGACTAGACTATAGACTAGACTATAGACTAGACTATAGACTAGACTATAGACTAGACTATAGACTAGACTATAGACTAGACTATAGACTAGACTATAGACTAGACTAGTCACTTTGCTTCTGGTTTTAATAAAGTTATAACTGTTTTGATAGAATTATAGTATCGAGGTAGCTTCTGGTAATTTTACGAACTAACATATAACTAGTGGGGTGGCTAGACCTTTTGGTTCTTCTTTAAACTCTTTGTATAAAGCGATGCTTTAGAAAGGATTAGATTCAAACTTTAGCATTATACCGATACAGAAATCTTCTTTTTACAAGTCACTGGGAAGTATTATTGAAATCAATAAGAATCGATATTTCGTCGTGTAGTTACCATTTGCAATTTGCATTAATGTGTTTAAATTTTACAAGTTACTTAATATTATTAAAAAAATCACTTCACCATGTACTTACTTGCTGTATTTCCTTTTTTTATAACAATTGATCGAAAAATAATGTAAAAAGCATTTCTTTTTTGTCTGTTTCTTATCAGACACGTACAAAATAATATCGTTGTTAAGGTTGTCTAAATACCAGCAATATTAAATATATGTATATCTTTGTTAAAAATTCTTATCAATTTACGAAAGGGGTAAATCCCACAAAAATCTTTGTTAGCGAGTTATTTTTCTATATAATTTTAATAAAAAAGTGCGTAATTAAATAAATAATGAAAAAAAATTTTAAATATAAATATTAACATATTAAAATTAAACTTTAAAATTTATAACGTTTTTTTTTTTTTTTTAAATTTAACGGTCATTGTGTTAAAGTTAAAGCTTTTTTCAATTTTATGCCGTTATGCCAACACTGAAATTTGGAAAAAGCTTTTAACAACAAGTTTTGTGTTTTTTTCATTAACAAAGCTATATTTAACAGAAGAAATATTTGTGTGACATAAAGCTTTTATTTTTACATGTTGACATTTGTAAACATGTGACTCTTTTAACGCTAATATTGGTTTGATAGCAAATTTCATTTATGGAAATTTTATAAAATTTTTGTATTTGACAAAATGGGAAAGAAATGATTCTAAGTGAAGTGGTGAAGAATTTTCAATAACTTTGAGATCAGTATTTGTGCCATATTGTTAGGATTTAATTATTTTTATAGAATTGTGCCTTTTATTGGGCTTGGTTCAATTATGGAGAAAGATTGATCAATTTCTAACATATTCGGAGGGTCCGGTTGTAAGGGGACTAGGTGAAATAATTGATCGATTTGAACTATTTTCAAATGAGTTCGTCTCTGAAAGAGGCATATATATGTGTCAAATTTCATCAAAATATCTTGAAAACTGCGACCTAGACTCACAGACAGACGGACGGACGGACGGAGCTTAATCAAAAGTAATTCTAAGCCGATTGGTATATTTTAAGATAGATGTAAATAGGACCAATATTTTTTGGAGTTACATCAGCACAAATGCAGTTACATCAGCACTATAGTGGAGTAGAGTATAAAAATTGGAATTTCGAAAACTTCGAAATCGGTAGAAGTTCGCTAGTTTCAAAGGAAACTTTCAAAGCAATGATTTCTAGAGTATTCTGAGCATAACAATATGCTTAAATCATCTAAATTATTTAATAGCTATAACGATCGACTGATTAAGAACTGCGCAAGAATAATTCTAGGAATTGGAATAAAATCTAAAAAAACAAAAATTCCAGGTCAAAGATGAAAATATTTGCAAAAATTTCTTGTGATTCACATTAATATATAAAAGTGATAACGTCTAAATAAATAAGTTTATTTAAAGAACCGAATTGAGTCATATTTTATTTATAAAGTCGAAATCTCGGAACTTTGTGATTAAATAGGAATCACGTTTTACAAACATTTCCTCAATTATGTTCTAGTTTTTTAGTTTTAGTTTTATTAAAAGGTGATTTTTTCTTTAAATCAATAAATCGTTTATTTGTTTTTTTTTTTTTTAAATAAACAATCTGTTAAGTTTAGCAAGAATAGGTAAATATTTATGTTAAGGTGTTATATTTTGTTTAGAACTTGGGGTATTTTTATTTAAGCAAAGCACCTGTTTATAGATTCCAAGCATGTGGAAGGCACATATTTTGTTATAAGTTCGCTCATAAAGTTTAAAAAATAACAATTTAAAAAAAGTTTTTTTTTTTTCTAAAAAATTACCATAGCTTACTCATATTATATAAACATTTAAAATGCAAAAATTATGATTTACTACTGAATACAATTAACATTTATCTTTTTAGCATTCAAGTAAATATTTATCTTTAACTATTACATTTCATGTGCACAATTTTTACTAGTGACTTGGTTGCTAATATTGCAGATATGCTTCGTTAAATGACTTTAAAACCGGTAAAAATTTATTTATTTTATTACTTTTTTTCACTTGTCATAAAATTGAACGCAATAATTAATTTTGTAACAAATTTCAATGTTTATTTACAAACCGTAATAATCACCAGCAACAAAAACAAAATAAATTATTTAAAATAATAATAATAAAAATTTAGCTAAGCGTGCTAAAATGTAGGCGATAACAAGATCACAGAGTGAACATCATATTTTGCAGCACCAAAAGAGCTTCTCACATTTGGCAAACTGTGCACGATTTAGGGGAATTTTACTAGAAGTGATGGTGATTAATAGATATTTATGGTACTTTTTTAATATATGTAAAAGTACTTTTTTGTTAAAGTATTTAAAAGCTTTTAATAGTTCTATTTAAATTCTGGAAAGGACCATTTAACAGAGAAATTTCCTATAAAGGGGACATTGTTGGTGCAAGAATGTAAAGGGAGGCTTTTATGTGAAATTGAATATTATGAAGAGACTTTGTGTTAAAAGTACTTTTTGTGTAAAAAGTACTTTAATGTGAGAACTAACTAAAACTACAACTAACTAACTAACTAACTACTAACTAACTAACTAACTACTAACTAACTAACTAACTAACTAACTAACTAACTAACTAACTACTAACTAACTAACTAACTACTAACTAACTAACTAACTACTAACTAACTAACTAACTACTAACTAACTAACTAACTAACTACTAACTAACTAACTAACTAACTAACTAACTAACTAACTAACTAACTAACTAACTAACTAACTAACTAACTAACTACTAACTAACTAACTAACTAACTAACTAACTAACTAACTAACTACACTAGAACTAACTAACTAACTAACTAACTAACTAACTAACTAACTAACACTAACTAACTAACTAACCTAACTAACTAACTAACTAACTACTAACTAACTAACTAACTAACTAACTAACTAACTAACTAACTAACTAACTACTAACTAACTAACTAACTACTAACTAACTAACTAACTAACTAACTACTACTAACTAACTAACTACTACTAACTAACTAACTAACTAACTAACTAACTAACTAACTACTAACTAACTAACTACTAACTAACTTAACTAACTAACTAACTAACTAACTAACTACTAACTAACTAAACTAACTAACTAACTAACTAACTAACTAACTAACTAACTAACTAACTAACTAACTAACTTAACTAACTAACTAACTAACTAACTAACTAACTAACTAACTAACTAACTAACTAACTAACTAACTAACTAACTAACTAACTACTAACTAACTAACTAACTAACTAACTAACTAACTAACTAACTAACTAACTAACTAACTAACTACTAACTAACTACTAACTAACTAACACTAACTAACTACTAACTAACTAACTAACTAACTACTAACTAACTAACTAACTAACTAACTAACTAACTAACTAACTAACTACTAACTAACTAACTAACTAACTAACTAACTAACTAACTAACTAACTAACTAACTACTAACTAACTACTAACTAACTAACTAACTAACTAACTAACTAACTAACTAACTAACTAACTAACTAACTAACTACTAACTAACTAACTAACTAACTAACTAACTAACTAACTAACTAACTAACTAACTACTAACTAACTAAACTAACTAACTAACTAACTACTAACTAACTAACTACTAACTAACTAACTAACTACTAACTAACTAACTAACTAACTAACTAACTAAACTAACTAACTAACTAACTAACTAACTAACTAACTAACTAACTAACTATGTTTTTGTGTAAAACACACTTTTTATATAATAAGTAAATTTTTTGAAAAAAAGGAACGTTTTGTTTCAAAATTTTTTTGAGTAAAAAGCTACTTTTTGTGTAAAATAAATTTTTTGTGTAAAAAGTGACTTTTTGTGTAAAAAGTGACTTTTTGTGTAAAAGTGACTTTTGTGTAAAAAGTGACTTTTTGTGTAAAAAGTGACTTTTTGTGTAAAAAGTGACTTTTTGTGTAAAAAGTGACTTTTTGTGTAAAAAGTGACTTTTTGTGTAAAAAGTGACTTTTTGTGTAAAAAGTGACTTTTTGTGTAAAAAGTGACTTTTTGTGTAAAAAGTGGCTTTTTGTGTAAAAAGTGGCTTTTTGTGTAAAAAGTGACTTTTTGTGTAAAAAGTGACTTTTTGTGTAAAAAGTGACTTTTTGTGTAAAAAGTGACTTTTTGTGTAAAAAGTGACTTTTTGTGTAAAAAGTGACTTTTTGTGTAAAAAGTGACTTTTTGTGTAAAAGTGACTTTTTGTGTAAAAAGTGACTTTTTGTGTAAAAAGTGACTTTTTGTGTAAAAATTGACTTTTTGTGTAAAAATTGACTTTTTGTGTAAAAAGTGAGTTTTTGTAAAAAAAA